ATGAACACCCAGAGACTTAAGAATATTTGAAAGAAGAGAATTGAGCTCAGGCTTCATTAATAAACAGACAAGAGAGAGCATTCACCTATGGGAGAATGTTCATTAATTGAAACAAAAGAAAACAAATTGGTTCAAAGCTAAATCCAGCAGGAATTCTGCCAGGAAGGATAAAATAATCAAATACTGTTAAGTACATGTAAATTGAGGTGTGAGACCATACAGTGACTACTTTAAACGATCTTCCATAAATTTTCCAATACAGGAAATCCCAGCATCACTATGAAATCCAGGTACAACTAAAGGGTTTATGAGAAGATGATTCTGATAAAAAGTAAGAAAACCCATTGCCTCAAGAGGTTTTTTCTTCTGCTGCTCAGCTTTCTACAAAGCTTGGCTTTGTACAAAGCAAGCTAGATTCTCCCTTTGTCTGCCCAAGCATTGTGCCTGGACCTAGTGCTGAAAGATCCTGTTGAGCCTTGTATCATCCCTTTTCTACACAGATTCAGGATATATATTATTTTCATGCCCTTTATTTTCCAGTTGTCTCTCTGTTTAAGCAGAGATTTCCCCATTAGGTAGACATTTAGTTATATACGTCTGTCCCTTTCTAAGTCCCTTTGAACCCTATTTTTCATGTCTAAGTTGTATTATGGCTGCAACTTTTTGAAATGTTTAATTCTGATTGCCAATTCAATGCTGCTTGAATAAGATTCTTCCACTTACTGAATGCCTCAATCAATTATAAATATTGCCTCAGCCCCCTTTTGCTTCATTTTGTTTACTCTTGCTCCTTTTTGCTTGCCCAGCCTAAGTCACCAAGTTGCCTTAAAATCTGGTTTTCCCATTTTGGCAACAAGATGGAACAGGACCTGTCTACAAAATAAAGCATAGACAATACATAAATATCCACATGAAATCAAACTTCTCCTAATATAAAGTTTAATTTATATTTCTGACTTCATGTTTTATACCAATTCTAAAACAAAACTGCTGAAACATTTGAAACTGCCATTTCAGTTTTAGATTTTGAGCACAATATCTTTTATGTATGTTTGTGAATGTGCATATACATACACACATGCATCTACTGATGGAAAGAATGCAGTCTATGAAAGTAAAACAATGGTCCACAACCTTTATCAATCATTGGGTATGTTTTTAATTTTTGAGAGCATATTATAGGCATATTATGTCAAAAAATGGCTTGGATGATATGCTTGATCAGTTATCTTTTTCTCTAACTGGTAAACTTGTTCCTTACAGTTCCCTCCATCCTCCCAAGATGCTACTCATAAACTCAGCTTACCTTTTACTTTTTTTTTCTAGGCAAGGAGGATACTTCCAGACAAAACAGCTGGCTGTAGCAAACCACCATTTTAATTTTTAAGACTGTCTCCAGGTTAAATGTGAGACCCAAAGGTATTCTGGTACATAGAGATGATTCTTAAGGACAGTGCTTTATTCGAATCATGTCAACTTCTCATTTATTTAGTTTTTAATAAAATATTATAAAATAAAAACAAAAATAAAAAATGTGTCTCATGCCAAGGGTTATACTAACTTTCCTGAATAACATGAATCCTGAAATCCAATTTTTCCCAACCCTCCTTTTTTATATTTCTCCTTTAAAACAATAATGTTTCACGGAAAGCAAGCTGGAGATATTCAAGGAATCATGCAGGCAAAACATTTCTAAGCACACGCACATACATAAAAAATCAAAATGTCTTTAAAAACCCTTCTTCCTTGGGCCAACCACACTACACTCTACAAAACCCAGACCAAAAACTGCACATCATAACAGAAAGCCAGGTATGTCAAATGCACCCCTTCAGGATAGAACATTTGAAGTGCTGAGATCTGACCATTTTATGTTGCCATTGTGTTTTATATTGCTTCCTGTTTGTTCTGTTTTATTCTTATTTTTGCTATACACTGCTCAGAACTGATTGAAGCAGACTGGTGCCAGTAATAAAAGTAACATAAATGTCCCATGCATAAGGTGTTTCTTGCTATCCTACTTTAAAATTCTCAAGTTGTTCATGGCAGATATTTCTCTTTTTTTTTCTTTTTCTGGGGAGCTGGGGGTCACTTGAATAAAGCCATGGACTGCAGTCGTCTAATAATTTGATTTTTGAAGAACACATACACAGTGGATATGTAGGTTATCATAATATCAATATTTTATGTCAAGACAGTAGCTAACATGATGTATAGTTTGAATGAGTAAAACATATTTCAGGTATTCTCTTAGTTATATTTGTACTCTTGGGAAAATTAAAATTTTCTGATGATCAGTTGACCATTAAGAAGTGTTGTAAAGATAAATCAGATGAGCATTACAAAGCCTGTGCTACAAAAATATTTTATAAAATATTTCAAATTTTATTTTACTTTATTAATACAGAATTTAAAATATGCAAAGATATGGCTTAAGTTGTGTGGGAAAAAAGGATTTATAAATGCATCCATTCGTGTAACAAATATGCTTGAGGTTTGGAAGTAGTGTATGGCAGGATGATGATTGGTCTCTCAACTCAGGAGGATAGCAGGTCTCATCAAGGTCACGAGGTTGGAGGCAATAACAGAACAAGCACACCAACCTTTAGGTAAAAGTTTAATGCTGGGGGGTAAAACTTACTTTTGTCTTTCACTGTGTCTCTACTTCAGAGATGTTCTGTTTATTCTTCACTAAAAACTATCAAAATATTATAGCATCTTTTTTTAAAAAAATCAAAGTTATTTAGAAAGATTACACCTTGACTATCCTGTTGCATCAAAAACATAATGTGTTTGTAAGGCAGCTTAACTCAGTGTTAAAAAATCCACTTTTCTGGATTTGAAACACATTGACTCATAAACTAATTTACACAAAGGCTGGGTTCACACAAGGCAGGCAGGCTAATATGTACTTGGCTAATTTGTGGCTTAGTATACTGTGGAGTCTTAACTCTTATGATACTGTTGGAAGAAATATCCATCTGGTTCAGTTCCAAGTGGGGAGAAAGACATGTAGGCTGGTTGGAAAGATGGTTTAAAGGTGAAGCAGAACCACCAAGCACGTGTGATTCTGGGTAGCTGACTACATGGAGTGGAGAGTGAGGATTATTTATACCCTCTCTTGGGCCTTGTCCTTGAGCTTCCTGTTTCTGTGGCAAGAGTATGTATACTATTGGCTGTAGTAAAACTCCCATGGGGCCATGTGGAGTCAAGTTTGTCTGAATCAAGTTTGGTTGAACCTTGGATTGATGCAGTGTCCCTCAGGTGATTTTGTAATGTAGTGAGCCCTCCTGCTAGATAATCCTATTATGTCCTGGGGAGTCATGTCTTAACCCCATCACCCTGGAGCTGAAGGTCTTTTGTTTTATAGATAGGCTGACCCAGTCCTTCTCAATGGGCACCAAATATCTGCTGGGGGCAGGGAGCTGAGGCTCTGAGTTTCTGTCTCCCTTAAGATTTCTATTTCTCTTTTAGGGGAAATATAATATTCTGCCTTTTTAATATTTCCTAAAATATTTCATTCTTCTAGGAGAGAGGAGGGTGCTAACTTTCTGCAATACATTAATGACTTACAGCACAATCCTCCACAAATCTACTCAGAAGTAATTCCACTGAATCCAGAGTATTATTCCCAAGTAAATGGTTATGATCCTAAATACACCAGGAAGCAAATCCTGTAAGTTATAAAGGCACTTATTACTCAATATATTCATGACTCTACTTTAGTGTACAACATAAGCTCAAGCTTCAAGAGCCTTGGTAGTACAGTGGTCTAAAGCACCCTGTTATTAAGACCAGCTGCCTGCAATTACTGCAGATTCGAATCTCGCCAGGCTCAAGGTTGACTCAGCCTTCCATCCTTTCTAAGGTAGGTAAATTGAGGACCCAGTTGTGGGGGCAATAAGCTGACTTTGTATAAATATACAAAAGGATGAAGGCTATTGCTTAGTGCATTGTAAGCCGCCCTGAGTCTCCGGAGAAGGGCAGCATATAAATCAAATTAAAATAAAAAAATAAAATAAATAAGCTTCCTGCAGCTGATGTAGATGCTGGTCTATGAAAGCACTTAACACTAAACCAAGATGTTCCTGGATTCTTGACAAATATACTATCTATTTCTTCTTTACAAACTGATCAGATGTGTATTTATTGGGGGGAAAGAGGTAAATGCAAATCAATGTCTGTAAAAATAGGAGTGTTTATGAATATGTCTCTCCTTATGAAGCTAATCACAATTTAAATCTATCAAAATAAAATAGGATGTCTTTTAAAAGAATACATCCTGAGCCTTTTGCATTTAATATTCCTCTTGGTGATGGAAAGAATCCAGTTTATAACACAGTGCCTTTTAATATCCTGGTCTCCTTAGATATCCTCTTGCTTTTAGAGACTTTGTTTAGCCTAGGACAACTGTAGCCTTAAAGCTTCCTAGCTGGCTTGATGCATTCATAGTAAAGCGTAGTAAGGAGTGAGATTTAAAAATAGAAGAATTCCTGTGGGAAGACATCCCACTACAGCTCAATCTGCCAGCTTCCTTCTATTGTCAGGGAATGTGATTCCTCCCCCCGCTCTTTACAGTCTTCACGGGGGGTGCCTCTATTCGAGATTCCCGCAGTCACATCTCTTCAATTTGCAGGCCCCTCATTTCCTCCCCTTGGTTGACCTCTGCAACGAAGCCGTCCAAAGCTCCTGGAACAGTCTTTCCCGACTGCCAAGCAGCCAGTCATTCAGCAGAAAACCTGCCCCACATTAGAGCACAGCGAGCCCATGACGTCACCCGAGGGGTTACTTTCCATATTAGGACATCGCCCTGGGCGGAGCTTTTCATTCCGTAGTTGCTCCAGCGTTCGGCAGGAGTTTAGCGCAGGCGCTTGGAAGCCTCTGCAGCGCACGTTTATGTCTGCCTCAATAGAGAAAAAAAAGCGATCTCTGACAGGCTCAGAGGAAGTAATACAGCCTCCGTTTATCCTTGAATGAAAACCGTGGCGCACAGGCTGAATGCAATCGTTAGTTTTCCGACATTCCGGGTTTGCCGGAGATGGAAAAGAACTGCTAAAATATTTCAGCAGTAATTGTAATCAAAGTATGATTAAAAAACAAATAAGCTCCCTTTCTATCTCAGATCTCTGAAGTTCCACTTCACAGAAAGGGAATGTCTCCATATTGCTGTTGGAAGCTTCTTCGCCCTCATAGCTTGAATTATAAATTACCGAGGGGAAAAAGTCTTGTCTGTTTCTGACCTACACCAGAGGTGTCAGCCATTCTAGCTCAGTCCCGTTTCTCAGCTCTGCCAGAAACGGGAAGGGCTGCTGGTTCCAGATGCACAGAGCTGATTGTAAGGGAAGGTATTTAGTACTGCAGGGAAAACAATCCCACGTGATGCTGGTATAAACATGAAAAAAACAACAACCCCGAGCTGAATGTAAAAGCTGAACACAGAAAGGATAGTTGCAATCTGGTGTTGCACAAACTCAATTCAAACAGCTTATTTCCACCTAAAGATGTATAGGTAGAGTTAATGTGGTATAATGATAAGTGAGATAATTAACATTAATAATTTTAAGCATATCTAATCTCACAAGGGATCTGCACTTGAACTCCTGAAAAATGAGGCATAGTACATTTATTCCTGAGAAGAGAAGGTTAAGGGGGAATGTGACACTGTGAATGTAACACATGTGAAAAAGAGTTTCAGACAGACACTATCTATTCAGTATCAGCCAAGAGCAGGATTCTAAATAATAATTCTGGGTTATTAAAAAAAAAAGACATATTCTGTTTGAATGATGGGGAAAATTTCCAGGCAGTTGGGTATTTAGAACCTAGGAAGAAGGTGGTTTGGTTTTTTTATTTTATTTTTTTGCTGGCTGTGTACAAGCTGAGGTTGGGCAGCCATCAGGCTTTGATGCTTTAATCTGCACTCCTGCATTGAATAGTAACTTGGACTTTGTGGCCTAAATGATCTCTTCCAGTCCTATGATTCTGTGATATAGGTGCTTCCTCCATACTGTACCAAAATATAATTAGACTCATCCAATAACTTTTTCAGACATACACAGCTGAGGAGAACACCTATAACACTGGAATGAGTTCCAGAAAATGCAGCCGCAGTCTCAGAAAACATAGAGATTCAAATGTTGACCAGAAACTCAAGGAGAAAGAATAATTGAACTGTAAGTTGTAACAATGAACCTATGGTTTAGGTACAGTACTGTATTTTGAACAGATGATGTGAAGTTAAGAAAAATTGGAAAAGATTGGAAAAATGGAAAGCCATCAGAAATACAACAAGGTAGCAAGATGACCCTTGCTATCATAACAACCCAAGCAGAAGCTTAGATGTATTTGAAACAGTCATTCTTCAGAGGTAATCTTGGCAAAATTATTTTCATGTGACAGAGTTGAAAGAGAATGAACCATTGAGCAACAATTAACTGTAATTTAATTTAATTTAATTTAATTAATTTAATTTATATGCCGCCCTTCTCTGAAGACTCAGGGCGGCTCACAATACATTTTAAAAAATCATTATAAAAAAACATTGAAAAATTAAAAACATTAAAAACTCATTCATTTATTTTATTATTCAAATTTCTATACCGCCCTTCTCCTTTCGGACTCAGGGCAGTGAACAGCCAAAATAAAAACATCTATACATAACATTACAGTTAAAAATAGAGTTAAAATAATTTATAAATTTGGCCCATGATTTAAAACTTGTCAATTTAAAATCAATTCATGCCATTTATGGCCGGATCTCACCAGATCACAAGAGCGAGATCCTCTGTATCTCAGAGGATAGAGACAAAAAAGTCAAGATAGAGGCTACAATCACCTAAGGGTGTCAATAAGAAGTAACCCCCACTGGCTCCCCACAGAGCTTAGGCCTCCTCCCCAACCTCTATCATCCATTGCGTTCTTACCTTTTGAAGATCCCTGGAGCTTTCCTCAGCAATCTACTGACACTATTAGGGAATCAAAATGGAATAATTCATCCATAGACATGGCATGGGGCCTCCTAAAAGTGGCTGCCATTTCAGAGCAACTGCAAGTAATTGTCGATAGACTGAAAATGACAGCTGTTTCTGGGAGACAGCTACGCAACCAAGAGACGAGTGGCCTGCTCTCCTTCCCCAACATGAAGTCCACAGAAGTTCAAAAGGTAAGTGTGCAATGGGTGTTGGGGGAGTGCGGAGCAGGCCCAAGGCCTGCAGGGACCCAGCAAAGCAGGATGAGGTTGGTGAGGTGGGGGATGCGAGTGACAGTAGAAATAACTTTTAAACAGGGTCATAAGTAGCTTTTGGGTGAGCTGTCATAAGTTTGAATGGCCGCTGAATGATTGTTAAATTATGACTATCTGTATTGTATTTATATGGAAGATAGGATCATGTCCAGCCATTTTATATTTCTATGAAGTTGGTATTCACCAGATTTTTTTCACACATAATTCCATATATGGAAATTATTTGCACATTGAGAATTGTATAATCTCTCCAATTTCAGTATAAAAAGTGCTATCTTGTAGTCCTCACTTAATTACTGCTCAGAGTTACAATGGCTTTGGAAAGAGTGCTTTTTAATATGTAATAGTATTCTTTTTTGCAGTCATTACAATGTTTGTGATATTACAATATAATCTAATTTTATAGAATATATATTATACAGCAGTGGTCCCCAACCTTTTTATCGCCGCGGACCAATCAGCCTTTGATAATTTTACCGTGGCCCGCTGAGCGCGCGCAGGGGTGGGGGCTTTGGGCCACACGTGCGTACCTGCGCGGGGCTCTCTTCCCTGGAGCCTTTGCGCACGGCCCAGGAGCTTTTGCGCACGGCCCAGGAGCCTTTGCGCTGCAGCGTTCATGTCCCCCGGCCGCTGTGCGGCCCGGTGCCAGGTACTCCATGGCCCGGCACCGGTCCGCGGACCGGGGGTTGGGGACCACTGTTATACAGCATATGTAATAGCATTTAGCCCAAACTAGCTTATTATCAGAAAGTTATGAAAGATAGGATCAATTTGGATGAGAAACCATTAGGAAATCGCAGGGTTATAAACTAGGCTGAGAAATCAGAAAAAACCTTCCCTGAAGAGGACAATAGCGAACCTCTTGTACTGCTGCCAAGAACACTGAATATGACTTGAGAAACTTTTATAACTTTATAAGTTTTAGTTTGTGTTGTTTTGCTGTTTATGACAAATTGCTGGCAGGAGGCTTTCTAACAATCTATTTTCCTTTTCTTATTTGCAATACTAGTCAAAGACTGTAATAATAAAGACATCAAAATTTCCTATGTTTGCCTCATATGAGTGTATTCTGTATACACACAGACATTTATTAGTCCCAATCAATCCACTGCAAGAAGCAGTGGCAAAGCAGTGGTGCCCTAAGCACTGACAAATCTTGGTGCCCCCCTCCTTTCAATGAAGAACCAATCTTAATTGGTTTTTTTTTCTTTCTCAACTTTGTGGTGCCCCCTTTGGGCCTGGTGCCCTAAACACGTGCTTAATCTGCTTAATGGTTAATACACCACTGAATTGAAGGTAATTAATAGTAATATTAATATTTCTGCTTAGTATCATTTAAACTATAGTTATTTTCTGAAAAAACTTTGTATTTTCATTTCTCAACTTGTTTTTATGCTGAAATACATATAAAAGATTGATTGGTTATCATCCCATCAAGCCTATTAGTTTTGTAATTCTAGTGATCATAGGGAAATTCCACTTCAAAGGGTCCAGATACTGAAAGAGTAAAGGGAAATTAACTGACCTGTCCATCCAGGCTTGCTCGCTCATTCACTCATACAACCCACTCCAGTCCCAAAGAACTATATACAGCATTTAACAACAGAAGCAAAATGTAAGAAGAATATAACGTTAAGAGGAAAGGAGGCCTCCATGTTGCCTTTGTCCTTTTAGTCTTGTATTTTTATTTCCTGTGAGGCTGCCAAAAAGCAAGGAAAAAAAAACAGGGCTAAAAGTCGTGAAGTTGGGCAAAAAGTTAGAATCGCTTACTTGGTATTCATTCTGTTTTAATTTATGAATTGAAATATGGGCCTGTAATCCTGTTTTTTTTGGGGGGGGGAGGAACTAGGGATTGAGGAAATAGATAGACCTTGAGCTAAAAGCAAAATTAACTTTATCAGATAGCAATTGATCATCCCTTGTTTTTATTTTCAAATTTCTTCTGAGTGTCTGACTGTATTATTTATAACTAAGATGTAAATTCTTAATGAACTAGTGGTGTTCATTCTGGGAAAGGGATCTAGCCTGTAGCATGTGCCTTCCTGCAGGGTCAGGCTATTAAAAGAAAAGTGGGGGCACTTACCTTTTCCCTAATAAAGTGGAAGTGATTATTTATTTGAAGTAAAGTGATTGGTAAAACTTTATTTAGCCAGTTCTGCTCAGGAATTGCAGGAAGGGAACAGCAGAATTGTAGGAAGATTTGGAAATAGGAAATGCAAGACTCCAGGTCATATCTCATCCATGTGTATACTCCGTTATAATAACATTATTAAAAAACAATTGTGTTTTTAAAAAGTCAGCGTTGTATTCAGATATGCCAAACAGCCAGGGGGATGAGTCAGAAGCAGGTAACAAACTATTGCCTCCAACAAGTACAAGTGAGCTGTTGCAAAGGTTTGGCTGCTTGGAAATGGATAATAGCTGAAAGGAAGTCAGTGGCTGATGTGGGAAGGAAATCAAGTCCTCCCACCATATAGTCTTCCTGCCTCAAAGAGGAGAAGATTTAAAATCACAAATTAGAATAAGTCTAGACAAAGATTTAAAAATGCAACAGGAAATACCAATGTAATCAGGTGAACTTTCCTCTCTCTCTGATCTTAATCTGAGATCTCTTTGATCAAATAAGAAAAAAAAAGGCCTTTCCTCAAAGTGATTACAGTTTTCAATTGACAAATGCTGAAACCACAATTCAGCAGGATGTCTGACTGCAGAGTGCCACCTCTGAGAATGCCAGCTAAGTGCACTCTCATGGAATTCCTAGAGTGTGCTTTTGCACACTTTTGAGGAATAAAGGCAAGTTGTCTATATACTACTAAAACTCTTGTGTTTGTACAATCTTTAACTGGGCGAAATGGAGCAAAACATTTCCAACTAAGGTACTTCAAATGAGCTAACTTACTGAATGCTGAGAACCATTATACCTGTGGGAAATAAATTCTGGAAAGCTGTTGCCATTTCAGTGTCAGCAATGTGCTGCCAGGGTCACATGATACTCATTTACAACATTCCCTGATACCTTCCCACAAGTCAATGAGGAAACCTAGGAAGCTGGCAGGGAGAAAGTCAATGGGGATCACATGACTGTAGCTGATGGCAAGAGCACAGTGGTGAGTTTGGAATAAGAAATATATCTAAAAGGATGACCAAACAGATCATGGGTTTATAGGTCATCATAGTCCTATATAAAAGGCTTATGGGAGACGACTCGCCACAGCCGCCTCCAATAGCTGATTGTGTATTGCAGTCTCGGAATAAACTTCACCTCTGATTCAAGTAACTGCCTGCATTCTTTATTTCCAGCTTGGAAATGAACCAGGTAAGATTTCTTTCTAACATTGTGTCATGGCTATCTCAAGACGAAGAAGATGAAGAAGAACATCAGCCTCAGGAAATTCAGCTGGAAAAGTTGCCTAGCAACCAGGAGAGGCAGCTATTGCTGGGCTCAGAAGATCAAGAGGCGGAGCTAATATTTTCCCCAATGCAAGGGCCCACTGAACAAAGGTGCTCAGTAAGACTATTGGCCAGAAAAAAATCTGCCCCATAAAAAGGAACATATCAGTGTCACATATCCCCTATATAAGGAGAGCTGTGTGCCTCACAGATCCATTAGTGACTACTCTGTTTATCTCATTGTATTCAACTCCTTAGCTGTCTTCTTGTTTGTTCAAACTTTGTGCCATTAGAGTTCTGTTTCAAAACCTTTGAAATAAAGATAAAAGACTTACCTGTGTCTGTGGTTTCTGTGGACCAGGAAAGGACACGCTGAAATCAGATTGGGCTAAAATATAATTGTTGAAGCACAGTTTACTGAATACATCATAATTCAAAAATCTTGTTTCAACTTCTAAATTTAATCATCTTGAATTCAAGATGCTTCTGAAAGGATTGAAACTGCATCAGAATATTTTGGTAAGGTTAGGACAATTTATTTGATATCCAAAGATCTATTTTGAGAAATTTATTTTGCACACCTCATGCTATACTAACCATAGTGATTTAGTTCATGTAGTATACTGTGCTCTTAAAAAACAATATGATAGAATCAAGGTTTTGCAAGAGGCCATTTTGATTATCAAGTCTAATTCCGCTTACTGTAGGAATCCAAATCCAATCCCATGCCAGTTTGGATAATCATTATTACTGTAGTATGTCATATGAACCTGCCACCTGTTGAATTCAGCAGTCTTTCCAACTTCTGTACTACATTCATCTAAAAATAAACTTCATTGAACTCTTATTTCTGAATAATCTACTTCATTTAGGTTATTACATCTCTAATGATGAATACAGTGCTATTAGATGCATGCCCAATTTCTCCGTTCATAAAGATGATGCTTTTTCAATTTACATGACAATGAAGAACACTTTTTAAAACTTTAACCCCCAATTTAGAAAATCTTTGATAGTCAAACAAGTCCAACTATGTTTGATGGGACTTACTCCCAGATAGGTGCACCTTCAAGCTAAACATTCCTTTTTCATAACTTCAATGTAGACGAGTTTTTTACATCATAGTCTTTGATTTTTTTTGGATTCTGAGTTACATTTCATTAGGAAATTATAAATTACGCTTAGCAAATATACAATATTTTATAGATGTTTCAAATTCAATGACATTTATCAATGTTCTACCTTTTGCAGCTATGCTGTGTAAATATTGAAACCATTAAGTATAGAATACTGTGTTAAAAAACTTGATATTTGTCTCATTAACAATAAAATTTTGCACGCTAAGTAATTGTCTCTTTACCTGGTATATTTCTGCTTAATCTCTGTAAAGATAATTCAAAAGCAAAAGCAAGAAGGGAGAGATCTAAACCTTTCATGTAGTCTTGGTTATAGAGAATAATTGGGATTGGCAATTCTGTTAAGTGCTGCAGTCACTAAGGTAAAAAAAATCATATGACTGCATTATATTATTTTTTTCTGTTAAATGAATCACTACAGTTGTTAATCAAGACAACATGTGACTGCAATTTCTGACTTCACTTTTGTGTTCTTCATTAATTTGTTGTCCAGTCACTTTATAGGAAAAATGGGTGGCAAAAAACAATAATTAATAAATAAGTCTGCTGTTGGAAGTTGGTTGTGAAGATTGCAAATGGTGATCACATGACCGTGGAATGCTGTGATGGCCACAAGGATAAGCTGCAAAGATTTTGTTTTCCATCATTGTTTCAGACAGTCATTAAACAAGACAGTTGGTAAGCAAGGACTACATGCATTTATCCCAAGCAATAGGTTATTAAGTATTACTTAACTTTCTTACAAATAGTTTTTAGTTGTATGAACATAAATGGATGTATGCAGCCTTTCTAACAAATAGACCAAAGGTGCTGTTTCAAGAGGCAACTGGACCTTCTTACAGATACTTTTGCTGTTTCCACAGAAATAATGGAACATAAGGAAATATAATCCATTCTGAAATTCATGTCAGGCAGTCAGTATGATGGTCCCAAAGGTGCTTTTTCAAGAGACAACTGAACTTTCTGGATTTCTTTGAAGACATTTTGCTTCTTGGATGAGAAGTGAAACTTCTTCAAAGAAACAAAGAAATACTAGAAAGTCCAGTTACCTCTTGAAAAAGCACCTTTGGGACAACCATAACCTGGATGACTGAGAATCTCCATAGACATTTAGCCAATATGATAGTACATCTGAAGTTCAGACCTGCTAGATCACGTTTTGAATCCTGAAAATTATTGAATTTAACACTTGACCTTTTAGTGGATCATATATAATTCCTTCCTTGTTTATGCCAGTTCAATGTGATGAATTTTAAAAGGTTTCATTTAGTTATTAGTGGACACAAGCTGACAACCCCCCCCCCATAAATGAAGCCGTGTGCAATTAGAACATTTAGGCAGTCATATATTGTAATTATTTTCTCCACATCAAACTTACAGGAAACCAGTTTGTAAAGTTTGTAGATGAAGTTCCTTTGTACAATACTGTTCATTGGTCATTGAATTACTGTACATATATACTTTCATGCATAAGCATACACTTCTTGGGTCAGTTTTTCAAGAAAAGGTGAAAAGATTTAAATGTTTTAAACTGACAGGCAAACCCAAAATTCAATAATTTATTTATTCAATTTATATGCTGCTCCTCTCATCAATAAGGCCATTCTGGATTGCTTAGAAACAGTACTTTAAAAAAGATAAATATTGAATCAATTAAAATTACACTTACAATACTATATAAAAACAAGAACCATGGAGATGGTGACATGGGGATGAGCTCTTAACTCATCAACCATTTCCACCCTTGGGGCCCCAAGCCAATTGGGAAATCCAAGTTTTGATACTGTTCTGGAAAAACAGAATGATGGGAGCAGTTCTCAGTTCTGGTGGTAGAATATTCCACAGGGCTGGTGCCACAGCTTTAACAGTAACAGAGTTGGAAGGGACCTTGGAGGTCATCTAGTCCAACCCCCTGCTCACACAGGAGACCTGTACTAGGGATTTGAACCGCCGAACTGCCAATCTTTCTGATCGACAAGCTCAATGTCTTGATTCTAGCCGGAATTCCTTACTGAACAGGATCCACAGCAGGCCCCTTCTGCTTGAGTAAGTGGAGCAGGCTAATCCCATTGGGGTGTCATGGGCTCCTCAGATACACCATTTAAGAAAGATTAGTGAAATTATATCTCCATTAAACAATTCCTTATTTTGGAGACTTCTACGTGCAGGGAAGGAAGGATGATAAGATACTCCACATGTTTATGTATAATCTTCCCTCACATAACTTCTCATAATAGCTAAGTAGTTAGGACATTAGCAATTCACTTTTTTTTTTTTTTTGGTAGAAAGGAGATGAGGTTTAATTATTGGCTTATGATTGCGACACTGATTACTTTTGCAAGTTAGTCAACTGACTAACAGGACTGAAGGAAATGAAGGAAAGAGTTGGCTCTTGGCAATCTCTACATGTACTCAGCATTTGAAGACTGGGAGCAATTATTGTACCAACTTCAAACAGCTATGGAGGGCTAGTAGTGGTAATGATGTGGAAGTGATCTATGAGGTGCGAAGAAGGCTTTTTTCAGATATTTCTGGAACAGAGAAGCAGAGTGAAGTTATTTACAAGGCTATTGTGTTTTACCTTACAATTTTAGTAACTTTAAATTGTGTGGATTTCAACTCCCAGAATTCCCTAGCCAGCATAAAGTTTAGCAACTTGGTCTTACTTAGTACCCTGTTTCCCTCAAAATAAGACATTCCCTGATAATAAGCCCAATCGGGCTTTTGAGCATATGGCAATAAGGCCAAGCACTTATTTCAGGGTTCAAAAAAATATAAGACAGGGTCTTATTTTCGGGAAAACACGGTAGTCAATAAACTAATATAACATATTATCTATAATCTCTCTCTCCCATTAATTCTTGTGAAAAGACAGTTATGAAGCTCGCAAATGGTGATCATGTGACTGTAGGATGCTGCAACAGCCATAAATATGGGGATTGGTTGCAAAGCTGTTTTGTACGATCACCATTTGTGAACTTCATAACTCTTCAGATCTTCCTGAAATGTCTGATATTGTCTGATATATTTTCATGGTAATAAAATACATGACATGCAAATCCTTAGATCAGGGTTGTCAAACTTGCACTGTCACGGCAGTGTCATGTGACATATCGGGACTTTTTCCACCTTTGCTAAAGTGGCCGTGGCCAGCATGATGCATCTGGCCCATGGGCCGCGAGTTTGACAGCCCTGCCTTAGACAGACTGAAGAACCAGCCCCAGATCTTTTATTAAACACCTCAAATAGATAATACAGTATTCCTGAGATGTATAGGTACTCCTATACAACTTCATTTATTCATATCAAACGTAACTTTTTAGAGACTTCTTGCAGTTACAATGACACTGAAAAAAGTGACAACTAGTCCTTGTACATATGACCTTTGCAGCATCCACTTAGACCAGGGGTCAGCAACCTGCAGCTCTGGAGCCGCATGTGGCTCTTTCACCCCTCTGCTGCAGCTCCGTCGCTCAAAATATGTGTCACAACCACCAATGTGTGACACCCACCGGAACACTATTTATTGAGCTTTTCAACCCCCGGTAGCCCAACCATGAATAAATCCAAGAAAAGTTTCAGAAGAAAACACAACATTTAATTCAACTACATATGCTAGTTTTGTGGCTGCTCAAGAAAGTCAGGCACAGGAAGGGTGCCTTGTGGCTCCTGGTGTTTTCTTTTCTGTGGGAAACGGGTCCAAATGGCTCTTTGAGTTATTGGCTCCCTGACTTAGACACATGATCAAAATTTGGGCACTTGGCAACTAGCATGTATTTACAATGGTTGCAGAATCCGGGGGTTAGGTGATCACTATTTATGACTTCCCAGTCGGCCTTGAACAAGTAAAATCAATGGGAGAAGCTGAATTTGCTTAACAGTATGATTTATTTAACAACTGCAATGATCTGCTTAACAACTGTGGTTAAAAAAAAATCTTAAAATCAGGAGTGACTTGCTTAAATGCCTTACTTAGCAACCGAAATTCTGGTTCCAATTGTGGTCATAAGCACAGGACTACCTGATTAGATTTGGAAAGATTAATAGCAGGTCGAGATTTTCAGTCATAGTATTTATTTTATATGACATATTTATTGTTGATTAGATTTGGAAGGATTAATTCTAAAATGATGTTTTCAGCATTAGAACTTGAATCTTTCCTATATTTGGCAACTAGACTGGCTGTTTTGAATAAGTG